CAAGTAGGCCAAAATGCACAAATATGTTCACCGGTAACATCGATCCACAAGTTTCGTCCAAACTAATTCTTTGGACTTTTCAAAGGTTATTTCACTCCTATGTAACAAAAACCTTTCTGATCACACATTAGACTAATGTTTTGTTAGCGATCTTTTTTACATGAATTGATATTCAATTTGCCATGTATTTCTTCTTGATTAGTTCAATTGTTTGCAATTTATAGAAATAGTCTTATGAATAAAGTTATTCGATATCAACGATGAAATTAGTAAAAAGAAAATGGCGCTATTAATATAATGAATCGTTGCGATCGTTTAATAGCATTATGTGGTTCTATACTTGGTATATTAGCTTTAATTGTTGCTTGTACAGCTTTATCTTCACGTAATTGGGAAAAAGAAACCAATATCGATTATTTTCATTCATCACCTAAATATAATCAACTTCATCTATCTCGAATTATGAGTATTTTTAGTCTTATTTTCACATTTATCGGTATAATTACATCATCATTTATGATTATCAAGTAAAAAAAAAAAAGAAAATTTTATTTACTTATTCCAAGAATTCAATGGTTTTTATAGACATTTTTGGAAGTATTGGAATTTATTAGCCCCCGGAGCTTATCTTCTTGCATCATTAACTCTTCTTTTAGCTATGTGTGAAGCATCTCGATTAATGCATCATAATGGTTGGCCATCATATATCTATGGAATATCATTTAGTCTACTTCTATTAGCAACACAAATTATGGCTGCACTTTCAGGAAAACTTATTTTTTCCTATCAATCATTATAGAATATTTATTCATTTTATTTAAACATGTATATATTAATAAAATTCATCTTCGTCAGTTTTATTTCGACATACACATACAGCCATAATTAATGCAATTAACTAAAAAAGAAAAACAAATAGAAATTTATAAATTAATTTTATCTAGAATGGTCGTTTTTTTTTTTTTTGGTTTCTTTCGTTTTTACTTCAAGTAAAGCAATTCCTATTCCAACAAAAACAATTAATCTTGAATAAAGTTGCATATATTCATTTATGATTTGAAAACAACCTAATCGATATGAATCAGTATCATTACAAATACCATTTAATAAATGATTACAACACGATGATGGAAGACGATTACCAAATATTTTATAATCAGTATTAGCATGAAAATCCGATGGACCATCAATACCACAACATGTAAACTAAATCAATATATAAGTTTTTTTTTGTTGAATAATTATTAAAATTTTTATTTGTCCTTAACATTTCTAATGCTTTCATGATCATAGCACCGTTATACGATATTACTATAAATATATGTCAAGTGAACGAGAAGGAATTGTAGATTTAGAGATCTATAAAAAAATCATAGACTCTCTAAATGGTGTCTCGTAAATTCTGAGCCTTAACGAAAATTAGTTTATATGTAAACAAAGAGTAGTCTCTACCTAATTGTATCTACATAAGCTTCGAATACTTAGGACGATGTTTTTAAATGACATTATCTCTTTTAGTAATAGTGATATAAACAGAAGAAACGTGATAATTAGGGTGTGGGTACAGAGAATAGCCACATCTACACTAGATACTACGTATCGCTTTGTATAATTATGTTACGTTACATACGATAAATTTATAATTCATTAAAACTTTTAAAAATAATGAAGTTATGCAAACGATTTTGCAAAGTTTTGGATAACTCTACAAGTACTGAATTCTATAGTGTTAGTTGAAATGTCACATAGTTTGCTGTTTTTCTTTGATGTATATTACCCGATTCTTAACTTCTAGGAGTAAAATGAAAGCGAAAAAGCAACGATAAAAATCATACCTATTAAATGTAGAATAAAAAAAAAACTTTTTTTTTTTATCAATACCTGTTTATGAACAGTATCCAAATCAAATTCAAATCTTTGTGGTATTGAATAATTATATGTTAAAAGACGTCTTTTTAATGTATTGGGTAATCTTGTATCCCATTCATCACCTAATAGTACTGTATACATAGCTACAACAAGTTCTCCACCCATGACAAGTATAATAAAAAAGACATACTATATAATTAAAATAATGTTTTGTTTTTTTTTATTAATCAAAATATTTATTTTTTAAATTACTTACAAGTCCAAGTAAAAGTCGAGATTCACGTACTGAACCACAACACCCAAGTAAACCAACAATAAAGACAAGTGCACCAACACCAATTAATACATAACCAACATTAAGAAATGATGGTACAAGATGTGAATCATAAGATAAAAGTGCAAATAATTCATGTAAATCACGTTTATATAAAACAAGAATTCCACAACTAAGAAAAACACCACCTGTTAACTAAATGAAAGAACAACAATCAATCAATAATTAAAAAATAATTCAATACTTTACCCATATAATTAAATTGAAAAATAAAAGTAAATATTTCGCACATAAACAACAAGCCATTGTTTAATAATTAGATTGAATTAAATCAGTAAATCACAAATATATAAAAGTACAATGATTAACTGTCACAAATGTCAAGTGTTGATCGCGGACGGATGATGAAATCGAACAATGTACTCTCTCTCTCCCTCTCGTACTGCAATTAGAACAAATACTTTTGCTATTGTTCGTTCACCTTGGACAACGATGCAGTGTATAGATAAGAAAAAGGAACAAAAACAGTGAGGGAACGGTGAAATTCATTCCTTTTCTTTTTTCTCACATTTTCTTCTTTTTTTTCTTCTTCTTCTTCTTCTTTCTTTTATTTTTTCAAGCTAAACCATTGTGCATACTTAGTATTAGTTCTGTTGATGTCGATGACCAATTAATAAAATAGGGACATCGCTTCATATGGATTAACCAAGAGAACAATCAATGATCCTTTTCGTTAAGAATGGTATAGAAAGAAAACAAAAACAAAAAAAGTGAGTTGTTTCCGTCTTAACAAAAGAAATACTAAATGTCGGAAATCTTTATGATATATATATATAGTCACTAATGAAATGATAGAAGATTAATTAAAGATCAAATAATATGATTTGATTTTATGCAATAATGATGAGATAAATAATCACATGAGAATGTCTGTTGTTTATTAAGATGAACATTTGTTTTATTTATTTAATAAAGGCCAGTATGTCGGTACATGTGATTTTATGAAAATATCAAGTATTGTATTCATCAATCAACAAAATGATCAATAGACATTGCTCTTATTATTTTTCTTTTTTTTTTCCGAAGAAAATCTTTTCATTGTTAAAGTAAAGATTAAATGATGTTTAGAATATTACATTTGTTTTTGTTTTTTTAAGCAAAAGATAATTGAGAAATTTATAGGCTTATTAATTTTGTTTGAAATCTGAAGTGTTGTTTTTAGCTTAGAACTTAACTATTTCAATAAAAAAAAAAAAACAGCTAATCCGACATATGTTTAGTAAATCTATGAGAAAAAAATGAACAATGTGATTTAGCTTAACAAGTCAATCTTTTTTTTTTTTTCTTTTATTGATTTTGAGATTTATTTCAATAGAGTATGTCAGCTATAGATAGTCAAAGAAACTGATGATTTCATAATAATTGAACACAGAATAACAAGTAACGGAAAAAAAAAATACATGTAGTTTGTTTTGTTAGTACAAAGTTCTGAATAGCAGAAAATACTTTTCTATAACTTTTATGGTTACTGGAAAATATTGCTCAGAATTCTATTTAAGTAAGTATCTGCACATATTAATCAAAATGTTGAATTTCTCTTGACTCTACTAATAGCAATAGTTTGTGAGAAACTATTCTGCTCTAATGCCTAATTCAAAATTTCAAACTTACAAATATTTGTCTTCAGTATATTTTTACATTTGTTTCGGACTAATGATCTACTTTTTTTTCCATACAGTTACTGATTTCTTATAAGAACACTTCAAAGTTTGATTTTTTAATAATTGATGAATTGACTCAACTGATAAACATGAGAGAAATTAAGCTCTTTGTAACAATTATTGACTGTTAGACATCACTTCTTTTCTCAATATGACTTCTTCATACTGTTGACCTTGATGATGTGTGTTTCACGTTCGCTTTTCTTCTGTGACTAGTATATAAGCGTGCATTTGTACTGATATAGATACGACTGGAATGATGACGTAGCTCAACAAACATCGTTATCGAGGGTAGCGATGAAAATACTCTTCCAGTTCTTCACACTCTTGAAATTGTATATTAATCATATTGTTTCATTAACCCTAGTAGTACCGGCCTTTTTTAAGCACTTTACTATCAACATATGTTTTCATAAATTAATTTTGTTTACTTTTGGATCAGTTTCCTGACGAAATATGCTGTTTTCATATTTGACCTAATAGAAAAAATTATTAAAATGATATTCTTTATTTAGAACAAGTAATACGAAAAATACATTTAATAGAAGGATGTGGGTGTGCGTGTAGGAAAACTACACCCACACCCAGTTGGATACAAATTATATGAGGAAAAAAACTTCAATCTAGAGGCCACAAGTAAATGAAGAAGCACTAGATAAACTGGCATCAGCTGAAACAATAGATTGATATATGAAGTTGAATAAAAAAAAATGGTCTCCTTCTTCATGATTTTACAAGTTTTTAATATGATATCTTGACCTCATTATTCACAAAATATAAAACAAGAAAGAAAAGCAAGCCATACATTTGATCTACTATAATGGTTGAATAGCTTGAAACCACTCAAAAAAAACATATTTTTTAATAGATTAGAAATATGTATCCACTTAGATTAGTGAATGAGTTATTGAATTATATATGCCAAGTTTGACTTTTTCTCCTTTCTTGTTATATATTTGTTGTATACTGAAGAGATGGTCTTGTATCAAAAGGTTGTAATGATATGAAAAACAAATGTATTCCTTTTTAGATTCAACAACATATATCTATTCATAAGGAATGCTAGTTGCTTCTAAAAACTGGGAAAAAGCAAAATATTTCTAGTATATTTTTAAATTTTTGAGGCAGGGTCAAAAATGATCCTGGCCAGTACTACTAGAGTTAAAGGTGAAGTATTAGCATCATATAATGATTCAATTCTATCAACATTACAAACTCATATTGCCTTATTAAAATTATCAAGTCAATCATTAAAAATGACAAAATTAAAAAGTCAAAATCTTCGTTTAGTTCTATCAACATTAACAACAGATTATGGATTCGAAGATATTTATGACAATGTATTATTTATTGAATAATTAAATACAAGAAGATTCTCATATGAAAATTTATTTACTAGTTCAATTGATGGCTATAACAAAAGTCTAACTATTAAATATATTTGATTAATTGGTCAAACTGTTGATAATTTGACATATTCAATTAATTTTCTTTTTATAAATATTACTTCTCAACAATTAATTAATAAATTATTATCGAATAATACAAATATTAATGAATCTGATTATACGATTGATTATAATAAAAAGTTAAAAGTTGTACGTACTTCAATATTAAATGATCGTAGTAAATTTTTAAATGAAAATTTTTTAACATTGATTACACCATGGCAATTAAAAACAACAAAAATTGCATTAAATATTTTACGTTTTATTGCTGCTAGTAAAATTAATCCACAAAAATATCGAATGTTATCATATTTTAATCTTGAAATAATTTCACCTACAGTGAATCATAATAAAACTCATGTTTCTCAACTGCGGACTCTTTCAGAGAAAATTTTGGCTTTATCCAAGGCCGTTTCAGCTGCTACCAATGCTTGGAAAGATATTGTGACTGCATTCAAATCAAGTAGTTCTACTACAATTACACGTATTGTACTATTTGGTTTTACCTATTTTTCTCAGAAATCAGCAGTTTTAAAAGAGATTGATATACCAGCTGATAAAGCAACGAAATTTATTAATGCAGTTATTATTGATTATAATTTACTATCAAAAGGTAGTTTTATGCTTGGTTTAACATATTCCGATGATTTTTCTTGGGATCGTATTGATTATTTTTATTCACCATCAAATAATGGAAATTATCGTTCTTTAACATTGTTTAAAAATGATGATAGTTTAACTAATACTACTTCATTTTTTATTGTTGATATCAATGTTGATTGGCAATTAGCACCTGATTTATTAATAATACAAACATCAAAAAGTTATCTAGGTGGTCCTTTTGAAAGGAACAAACAATCCATACAAGAAGTACCATATGTTTTAACTATGGATGAAGCTGTCAAATTACAACAATTCTTTATGCTTGTAGCTATGGGTAATTTAGCTTCGACAATAGGTGCTAATGTCACTCTACCACAATTGAATTAAAACTATCAATACAAACAATATTATTCAATGAATATACTATACTGATAAACTTATTATATTTTATTGTCATATTGAAGATTTTATTACTATTTTTTTTTCTATTCATTTTAATCCAAAAATAATTTTATTTGAATATAATAAATAAGATTTACAATCGAATAAAAAAATCCTTTTTTTTAAATATTTTTCCATAAATTTTCTCATCAAACAGGAAGAACCAGACTGAGAGTAAGTATCTAGTTGAGAGTGACGAGAGACTCGCCATCACTCTCACTCTAGTTTGCTACAGTTATTTATGTATCATACGTATACTATGAATAGATAAATCCACTTATTTGAATAAATTCAATAAATTCAAAACCAAAATCCTAGAAATTGCTCGACAAATATAGATACACGACTAAAAATCTAATTTCAAAGATAAGTCAGTAGAATAACAACGATTATCGATGAGTAATCTATAAATAATTGTCTAAGGAAAATTTTGGATTTTGAAATTTACATTTGTAATGACAATAGATAAACACGATGAAGACAATGATGGTAGTTAAGAGACAGTTTTTTTTCATTTTAGTTTTCTATTTCCATAGTCAGAAATAGTTTGATTCTGTATATTAAATAAATGATTACTATAAGCTAATATTTTAGGACCAGTAACTTTTATTTTCGAAAAAAAAACATTCAAGCTTCACAAAAATACTTGCATCATTAAACCCGGCATAATGAAATGGTTTATATAGATAGCTGAATTGATTGACGCTGATCTTGAGGGTGTGGATGCGGGTGAAAGACAATTAGTCAAGGGGAAAAAGCGAGACTTCATCCACTTTAAAAAAATCTGAAGTACGTGAAGTACGATGAAAGTGCGGTGAAGTACGTGAAGTGCGAGTGAAGTATAAGTGAAGTACGAATAAAGTACAAGTGAAGTACAGTGAAGTATGGTAAAGTACGAAGTCTCGCTTTTTCCCCTTGCAATTCGTACATCATCATTATTATTGATCTATTTTATTCATGTATTTGTGCAACATGTTATATTCATGTGATAAAAATATCGATTGTATCAAACATAATACAAAAGTGCGTTAGTACCTGATTGTTTTCTTTGTGAACAAAAAAGAAAGAAAAAAACAAATTATTATTAAGTTTTTCTCTACTATCTCTACAACACGTGCTTATGTAATAAAACTAATCAATAACCTTATTATTGATAGAATAATAGGTTACTCTCTTTTTCTATTTTTTAAGTACTATCGAGGAGAACAAAACATGTCCTTTCCGTATCTTACCTCTGTCATTATCTCTTCAGAATATACGACGTAAAAAAAGCCATGAGTAATCCTTATATACGTAGAACAATAGTTAAGCATTGTGTATCTTTTTTTTTTTTTGTACCTATTGATGATATCTTGAAATATTATTGGTTACACGTTTCGCTTGGCAAATGAAGTAATTGGTATATTAGTATTTCTTCTCTTTTTTCTCTATACCACAAACAAATATTTCTTCTCTATCCCATCAATACATCATTAGTGATATATAAATACAGTTTTTATTCATTTTTTTTTACAAAACTTCGCAAATGCATCATCAACAACAATACGTCATCATTCAACTGGTCTGTGTAGCAATTGCCATCCTTTCAGTTGCGCAGTGTTACACAACACAAAATAAAAAAAATGTTTGTGATGCCAGTGAATGTCGAACTCCTCTTACTGGATTGCAGAACTCTAATCGATTCACATCTTCAGACTATGTTAGAAATCTCCTCAATCCAGATTATTGGATAAAGACTCCTGGAGGCAATGTTAGTTACTTCAATCTTTCCACCACACCCGCTTTAGCTGGCATAGGTATATCTTTCACACTAGTCATGCTGGAACCCTGTGGTATCATCTTGCCTCACATACATCCTCGTGCCTCCAAGGGTGTCTACAGTATTACCGGAAAATCTCTTCTAGTCGGTTTTATCCAAGAAAATCGCGCACAAGTTGTCCTCAACAAAATTACCATTGGATACGTTGCTGCAATTCCCAGAGGAGCGATTCATTTCATACAGAACTTGGATTGTTCTCCTTCTATGCAAATTGTTGGTTACAACAACGAAGATCCTGGTCTATTGACATTGGGTTTGAATATGTTTCGTTTTCCCGATGGTCCTTTATCAGCTGCTTTCGATCAATCCGAAGATTTCATCGATAACTTGAGAAAAAAAATTCCTGGTTATCCTCTGGATGTCAACAAGGCTTGCAGAAAAAAATGTGGATTATCTCCGTAACACGATGAAGACAATGATAGTAGTTAAGAGACAACTTTTTCACTTTTTTTTTGTTTTCAAATCAAAATATTTCAAATAAATTTCTATAATATTTGTCACTCTAATAAAGCAAAAAATGAGAACTACAACTATATACATGGCAACGTCTTTCCTCATAATGTGATCAGTTGATTTAGATCGATAACAAGATTTTGTTTTATTTTGTCAACGATTTCCTCAATCAAATCATGATGAACTTCATAACTTGTATGAGCATGTATTGTACGTTTATTAACATCAATTACATCTGTAATAAGTTTACTAAAACGAATAATTATTTCATGATGACCATATTGATAAAGCATATAATTACTTCAAAAGCATGAATATACTAAGAATTATGAAAAAAGAAAACAGTATTACGAAGTATTCAATATGGATATAAACTACTAAGATCATGTAAATTTCGTTAGATAAGCGATTGTTGTTCTTTGATACAAAGTGCTTGGAAATCACGTAGCAGATTTAATACTGGTATATGAGATATAGACTAAAAAAAAAAGAATATATATTCTTGAAAAATATCTCGAAAGTTTTAAGTAAAACTCGACATAGTATTCTTGTTTTATATTTGGACACTTTATTTTGGTTAAATTTAGTTGTTGATGATGATTTTTTAGAAAATATAGTTCTTCCTTATAAATCAGATTGCTACTCATACTAACTGAAAAAAAAACATTTAATAAGACGACATGATGCACAGAGACATGTCTTAATAACATATTCACTTCACATTGACCATTATAGCGACATAAATGAGTTGTCTATTCAAACATATAACGATATTCATTAGAAATAATGTATAGAATTATAAGAAACGACAAACTTCTGAATGAAAAACATTACGACGAAAGAATGTTTTACATGATTGAGAGGATAATATTCCGTATTTTTTAACATGAGCTTTATCAACACAGACTAGTTTACAAACATAATAGAATTGCTGTTGAAAATAACAGTCGAAAATAAAAAATAATATAGAATTTGCTATGAATACAATGTATATTAAAAGATCTTATCTACTATTCTTCTTGTCTATAATTTGATTTTACTGAATAAGATTATGAAATTAGTATTTACAAAGATCCATCTCACTCTTATACATGACATTTCTAAAATTTATGAATATTCGAATAATTCTCTGAGAATATAAGACACATTAATTAAACTAATCAATATTTGTAAGTCTTGTCTATTTAACAGTAAACGATGTAATTATTCTTCTAATTCTTTTTATATATTTCCTTGACTCTTCGTATTTTTTTAATTTTCATTGTGTCCTTCTCTGACATGCGTTTCATTTGTTTTTTTCTTTTTCTGGCTTGTGCGTTCTTTGACATAAAATATGTACCTGTGTTATTTTTCTCTTCAATCAAACGTGCATTTATGTTGTTATTTTAATTTCTTATTATAGCTCACTACATTGTTAATTTAGTTAGTTTCGAAAACATTTTGAGGATATGAATGTTGCTATGATATCTATAACGGATTTTAATGTGATTAAATTGTGTGTGAATAGTTGAGGGACAGTTGTTACTTGATCGTTGCTCTGATTGTTCTTTAATATACTTCGATCAACGCCTAGTTCCGTTACTTGTTGAATAGATCTTTATTTCAACACTATTATTAGTTCACACAAACGTTCTTTTTATCAACCAACTTCAATATTACATTCGAATCAAGTGCACATATAAAATAAAAAGGAAAGAGAAAATTATATCAAGAGTTGATCGATAAGCGTAGATGAATAACATCATTGAAGATTAATATCATGTAAAAATGATAAGTGCAAATGGTATCACATTAGAATGATATTGAATGAATGTGATGTCATGGAAGTTTATATAATTCAGCTCTTCCAACTTCAAAATTAAGTATTCCTATTATATTTGTATCGATTATAATAATTACATTTATTAAGAATGATTTTAAAATTTTTCTTTTGAAAGACGTGGTATTTCAAAATAATAAAATAATGTTGAAAGAATATACACAGGAAATCAATAAATGAATATGACTCTTTTATTCATAAATACACCATTTTGAGAATGTGAATGTAAGCAGTGGCGGTGGAGTCTGTAGGCCCGGTGAGGCTTGAGCCTCACTTGTTTTTGGTTTCTATAGGCTTAGTCTCACCTGATTTCAGTTCGTACAGACTGTAGATCAGTTAAATTATCGATTTCAGAATCTGTCAATTTCAACTTTAAGCATATTTGTGATTGAAGTCATTTTTCAAACTGAAAATTTAATAAGTTTCAGAGTTTTATTTTATATTTAGTAATGAAAAGAACAGAAGATCTGAAATAATAATGAACCCATTAATTGTATCGTCATGATTCAGACTGACGCTTTCTATACTACATTCATATAGTGAAGTTCTAAATAAATGAATAATTAGTAGAATTTTTTGGTAGCATGAATTAAAATCTAAATAATATCTAATAATCCGATTGTTTTCTATTCTTTGATAGAATATAATTACTTTCGTTTTATTTATTGGAATGCAATCTTAGCAATGGTATATAATGCCAATAAAAATATTCACCAAATATAGTCTGAAGAGCTACTAATGCAATTCTTACGGAAATCAAAAGCAAAGCATATTACCATTGTGAAATTTAGTCACAGAATATTTCTTCGTATTCTATGTATTTAGAACATTGTACTATCTTCCAAGTCGTTCTCT